ATGTGATGACCTCGGGTTGGTCCTGGTGGCCTCCACTCCATAGTGCGCCAGTACCGCCTCGTAGCTGGCGTTCATGGCACGGCCCCTGCTATCCCTCAGCTCGTGTGTGGCAGCCGACAGGTTGTCGGTACGGATCACGCTCGGTACGCATCCCAGCTCCCAAAGTGCTCCCTGCAGTCCCTTCACGAGCGCCGCGAACGTCTCTCCGAAGCACACCTCCGCATAGCTCCATCCCGAGTAGCTCAGCACGAGGTGGAACAGCAGGTGACGGAAGGGCTCTCCGCCTATGGTCACCCCAAGCCCCGAGCAGTGTGTGAAGTCCACCTGCGCCTCACGTCCCGGTGGATGTCCTGCTGGAAGTACACCTCCCTGTCCGGTCCGTGAAGTGCCCTGTAGTCGCGGATCCGGCGCTGAAGCGTCCTCAGACTGGGAGCTGCCGAACCTGCCGGGGTGTCTCTCATCGAGCCACTCGAGGATAGTTGTCGCACTCAGCTCACCCTCGGGATCGGACCGCAGCAGGGGCTCCACGTCCCTCTCCCAGACATCGGCGAACGGGTCCGGCCTCGTCCTCCAGCCCCTTCTGTTCCTCCTTCTCTCTGATGGCAGCGACCCCCCGCTGCCATCTCCTTACCGATCTCTCACTTGTGGCGGACGACTGCCGCCGCTGCCTGCTGTGTCTTACCTTCCATCAGCTTCTGCCTCAGTAGAACTACCTGTTGATCCGTGATCAATCTGGCACCTCCTGGGTACCAGATCATCCTATCTACGGACCGGCCAAAGTAGTTGTCGTTCGGTCAGAATGATTGTCGCTGTCACCCCCTGGAGTGGCGCAAACACGTCCGCAGGGAGAAAGCGCCAGCTGATAGGCACGCGAGCACACCGCCGCGTCCAGTTATTCCGGCCGGGGTTGACCGCGCAGGCGCGGTTGCTGGGGTGGGATCGCCAGATAGACCCGCCCAGAAGGGCGTCCCGCCACTTCAGGCACGACGACCGGATGCGCGCCGTCAACCCCGACGCCTTCGGCGTCCTGCGAAGGGGGGAACCGATGGGCCTTCTTCCTGGAGTGGGAGCGCCGCGCCGTGCGGCCCTCGACCATGTCGGACCGGCTCGCGCCCTATCTGCGCTACTACTCATCTCACAGGCCCATGGACGACCACGGGGTTCCGGCACACGTCCTGGTCGTCTTCGACGACGAGATCGCCCAGACCACTTCCGCGTCGTGTGGAGCGGGAGGAGATCGGGCGGAAGAGGGTCAAGGTCCCTGTGGGGTCCCAGAGGGAGGCCATAGACGCCCTGGGTCCGCTGGGACGCGCTTGGCGCGCACCGCGACTGGAAGTCGCACCGGGGGCCCTGCGCCCCCAATATGAAAGAACAAACCCGCGGAATTGGCCCAAACATTGCGCTCGAAGACACCCAACATACAGAAAGGCCCCCGGAGGCGCGGAGGACGGACCGTTGTCCGGCTCGACACGGCGGCCCTCTGGAGGCGGCTCACCATTCTGAAACCGCTCCAAAACTGGTGGCCAGGGAGATCGGGGTCAGCCCAGCTCAGTACATCTCCATGCTGGTCAACAAGTGGGCGCACGTCCCTCGGCCGCACCGCAAGCGATGATCAAGGCCCTCGACATGGAACGACTTCTACCAACTCTCAGATTGGAGGTAGAGATGACGAACCGTAAATCAGAACCCCGTTTCGACGGGCATTCAGACCGGATCACCGTGAATGGCCGCACCTGCCCTGGGAGCGGAGCATGCTGCCGGATCTGACTTCGTCGACCGCCTGGACCAGGTGAAGGAGGCCAGCGGACTTCACCGGATCCAGGCTTCGCCCAGGCCATCGGCGTGGACCAGAAGCAGCTGCTCAGGTGGGAGCAGAAAGGCACCGGAGCCCTGAGGAGGGCAATGCTCTCGCTCCTGCGCTTCGCACGCACGCTACGGGCGGCGTAGTCGACATCACTCAGGTGAGCAGGACTTCAGATGACCTCTGGAGAGGAGGAGGACATGGGACCGAGGCCCGCCGGCGGCGACGCATCCACGTGGAGAGCCGGCACAGACCGCCGCCGGTGCTCGCCCCGTCCGTCGCACGGGCGGCCCACCACAGACGGCAGAGAGAGAAGTCAGCGGCCAACGACTCCCGCCACTGCGACTAAGCAAACATCAGTGAACCCCAAGGAAGGGAGGAGTGGCGTGGACCATGAACGACAGGCTGTGCTACGTCGTCGAGAAGTAGAGGAACTTACGGGATTGAGCCGCGCCTCTATCTACAGGTTGATGGGAAGCGGACAAGAGTCTCACGCGGCCCGTTTCCGTCAGGCGTCAGCGCCACAGCCGTCAGGGGGGAGGGCAAGCGACATCTCAATATGGATAGCGTCTCGCGCGGTCGTTGAGTGCCAAAACTGCATCCCGCAGTAGAAAGATAGCGCCTAGAGTCACCGTCCGGGGTTACTCCATCACGCGATCTTGATTAGCGGCGGCCCGGCAATGGTCGGCTGCGCCCCTCATTCTCGACAGAGTTCATGACCCGCACAGTGATCCTCGTGGAAGCGCTCCTGGAAACGGGCGTACGTAGAGTGGTCGCTACCCACAGTTCCGCATGCATCCTTCTCGCTGAGGACGTATTCATGGCGACCAAGGGTCCCGTACACGGTTATGTTGACCGCCTCCCGCCAGGGTCGCGCGGCGATGAGGTCCGGATCAGTTCATCTCGGCCAAGTTCCCTCATTCGGGCCTACTTCAACGTAACCAGTAGTGTATAGGCACAGACCACAGTCGAAATATGCGAACGGGCTTCTCTATGTCCTCTGAGCCATTGGCTTAGTCTCCCTGCCTATTTGTGCCTCTGAGAAAGTGGGACTTCGCGATCCATCCACTGTGGGGTGTTGCCACAAGATATGTACATATTGATACCATGAGTGTGGGAGTGTATGCGTATTCGAAGACACGTGGGTTAACCACGCCACCACGGACCCAAGCGGTGTGTCTGAGGTCTCTGTAGACGAGGCCCAACGAACCAGCTCTCAAGATGCTATGGTATCACTCTAGGACCTTGGGCATTGACACAGCCGCCGATTGATATCGGCGGGCACTTCTGTCTTTGGATAGTGAGCGGTTGGAATGGAAGATCGCCTCGTCTGTCCTACCGGGCTATGCCCTCTCCACCAAGTGATGAGTAATCCGCAATCCCATTTCGAATTGCACGAAAGGATGTTTGACCAGGTCTTGTAGAGATCGAGCTCACCCGAATCGGCGACTACAGAGTCAGTCGTAGCGGGGCATACCATCAAGTTGGCCATAGCTCTTGCAGGTTCATCCTCGTCTTCGTTCGCGGCGTTATCCAGCATGGGCAAGGCAAACGGCGATGGTCAGGGGAGCCAGGTCCTCAGGGCAGTAGGTCTTCTCCGTGCATACCGTGTCGAACTTCTAATCGGAGATCTACTAATCAGATCTCTTAGTCGCCAAAACGTGACCCCGGTCGAGAGCACGATGCCCAACTCTCGACACCCAGGGCACGGCAAACAGCACAGCGAACTACGTTCAATTCAGTAGTAGTCGTGGCGTCGCCGTCGGATCGGTCGCGCCTACGGCCCCACCGGAGCCAGGCCAGGACCGCTGCGACTGCCACTGCATGCACCAAACAATCAGCGCCACACGCTTTCCAGCAACTCCCAAGCCAGTGAGATAGTCAGGCATCCTGTTCCTGTGCTTGTCAGGCTACATAGCGGTGGTTGTACAAACATCGCAGGAGAGTGAGATGTATTAGATGAAGAACTAGATTGGGATCAGATAAGAGACAGAAAATTAAATAAAAAGGGAAGAAGAGAGACAAAATTCTTAGAGGGTGTTTGCAAAGTCTCGGATATGTATTAGACTTAGTTTATGAAAAGGAAGCCATACCCCAGCGACTTGACTGATGACCAGTGGAAGATCCTCGCACCGTTGCTTCCATCTGCCAAGCTAGGCGGAAGGCCGCGTACGGTTGATATACGGGAGGTGATCAACGGCGTCCTCTATGTTCTACGGACAGGTTGTCCATGGCGGATGCTCCCACATGACTTTCCGCCGTGGCAGACAGTGTACCAATACTTCCGCAAGTGGAAGAACGAGGGCATCTGGGAGCAAGTCCATGAGGCCCTTCGTCCTGAAGTCCGCCGAGCTGAAGGGAGGGAGTGGACTCCCAGTGCAGCTATCATAGACAGCCAGTCGGTCAAGACGACGGAAAAAGGGGGCCTCGTGGCTTTGACGCTGGTAAGAAGGTGATGGGACGTAAGCGTCACATCGTCGTGGATACCATAGGGATGCTGTTGGCTATCGTGGTTCACCCTGCTGACATCCAAGACAGGGACGGGGCAAGGCTGGTTATAGACAAGCTGAAAGGACGGTTTCCCCGCCTCCGATTGATTTGGGCTGACGCCGGATACGCCGGGCAGTTGGTAGATTGGATTCAGGCCTCTGCGGGCTATGTCCTGCAAGTTGTGAGGCGGCCGCGTGGCAGTCATCAGTTTGCCGTGTTGCCACGACGATGGGTAGTTGAACGAACGCTGGCGTGGATCGGGCGGTGTCGTAGGTTGAGTAAGGACTACGAAGCCCTCCCTGAAACGTCGGAAGCTTGGGTACATATCGCAATGGTCCATCTCATGCTCAGACGCCTAGCCCCGTCATGACACACTTTGCAAACACCCTCTTAGAGAAGTCGAGGTGTTTGCAGACTGGAGAAGGAATATCACCATAGGGTATCCCCAGAAGAGTGGCGGTCAATAAACTCGGCTCTAGGTCTAAATGCTGAAAGAAATATTGAAGCCTGTGATCCAGTGAAATTCTATCACGCCCGTTACTGGTCAAGGAAGGCCTTGTAGAGGGAAGTGTCCGAATGGTCACGGTCAGATGATGCTTAAGTTCGAGAGGGCTTAGTTGGGATGGACATGGCTGTGGGAGGGAAATTAGAGATGACGGAAGATGGAAGCGGATAAAGGCGAAGTTAGCGTCAATGGGGGTGGAGTCTATCAGTAGCATCCTGAAAACAGTATAGCAGAGAAGTGTAACCAAGGAGAATCTTCTTAGCAGATTTTCAGTCGCTACGACTCTTCTCAGCTGCCTCCACCGTCAGCATTCACCGTTGCTGGCTACATCGTGGTGTCGAGCGGTCTGACCAACTCATCTAACCTCCGGTTAGAACTTTACTACAGCATCTTGACACGTTGGTCGAAATGCTGGCGGAGAGTAAACTCGACGGAATCGTATCACTCCTGAGAACAGACCTGAGGATTCGGCTCGACTAGCTGTGAGGTAGTCCGCCCACTGCTGCATGAGCACTCGGCGCCGGTCGAACAGATCGGACCGTGCATATGCCTGCTCAACGCTGCGCCAAGCTGATGCGCCAGCGCAGCCTCCCCAACCGCCCAGGGCGTATCAGTCTGTTCCATGGTCACACGTCTGAGGACGGTTCTGAAACCATGGGCAAACCCCGTCGCCGGTTCTGCGAGGCCGATTGTACGGAGATGTTGCGTCAGTGTCATGTCGCTCAGCATCCGGCCAGGTCGCAGCGGGGACGGGAAGCAGAGCCCGGAACCGTCTTCAAGTTGACGTGCGAGCATCAACTACGTCCAGGGCCTGGTCGCTCAGGGGCACCCGATGCTCTATGCCTGCCTTCATGCGCGAGCCGGGTATGGTCCATGTTGCACCTCGAAATCGATCTCGTCCCAGTAGCTCCTCTCGCCTCACCGGAGCGTGCCGCCGTGAGAATCAGGAACTTCAGACAGCGCTTCGAAGCAGGTGACGTCTGGGACGCATCGACGGTCTCGAGAGCCGAACCCACCTCCTGGTAGGGAAGCGCCCGGAGATGCGCCTTGACCTTGGGCATCGATGGCAAGGCACCGTCTATGGCTTCTCCCGCCGGGTTGGTCTCGATCAATTCATTCGCCATCGCCCACCTGAATATGGTTCGCATCCTCTGTCGCACGCGCCGGCCGGTCTCGGGGCGCGTCGACCAGATGGGTGTAAGGACGGTCAGCACGTCGGTGCGGCTTACCGTGTCGATCTTCTTGTTACCGATCTTGGGGAAGGCGTGTCGTTCGAGGGTCTGAATCCACGCTGACGTGTGGCTTCCGTTGCGCCAACGAGGCTTGTTGGCTTCGTGGACAGTATGGGCGGCCTCGCTGAACGTGGGCATCGCGGGCCTGTGCTTCTCCGCGACCGGGTCCCTTCCACTGCTAATCGCCTCGCGATTGTCCGTTGCGCGCTTCCTCGCCTGCGCCAAGCGATACAGTCGGATACCCGCCCAGGCCGATATCTCGCCGTCGACCGTCAACGGTTATCCGCTGCACCCAGCTCTTGCGGCCGTTCTTGTGTATGAACAGATGCAGGCCGTCGCCGTCAGAGTAGCGCCCGGGGTCCCTGAGCGCCCTCGCCCTTGTTGCCGATAGCTTCAAGAGTCTGTGCATCCAAAGAAAGTGTTCCCACACTTGTTACCACAATTATGGCGAGATAACAAGGGATTGCGGGAGATCGCTGGGGAGGCCTATACCAGCTGATTTAGGCCTTAGTGATACCTAAGTAGCTACGTTGGGAGGCTTACTGAGACCTTCAGAGGCAGTAGGGGAAGGGTAGAGAATGAGGTGATGGTGGAGATAGGGGGACTCGAACCCCCAACCTCGGCATTGCGAACGCCGCGCTCTCCCAGTTGAGCTATATCCCCATTGCCAGTCGATTATAGCGTGCACGGGCGCTGCCCGTATAGGCTCGATGTCGAACTGGACTCGACTTACTCCAGTTCGGAGTACCCAAGGGCTATGTGGCAGGGCCAGATGGGCGAGCGGAGCGGGCCTCGTTCCGTTTGAAGGTCTCAAAGTACGAAGCAGGCAGAATGGAGCCAACGGACGGATTCGAACCGTCGACCTGCGGTTTACGAAACCGCTGCTCTACCTCTGAGCTACGTTGGCTGGCCGCGCCGACACTAGAATTGTAGCACGACGGCCCTCGCCTGGGCCCTACACACTGAACCTCGGCTGCCTCGGAGAGCGGTCGCGCGCAGGTACGTGTTGTTGCCCTTCAGCGGCAGCTCGACCCGCGCGCCGCCCCGGAGGTGCGACTCGATGCTGGCAAAGATGAGCTCCGTGCCGGCGTGGGCGGCCCTCGCCCCACCCTGGGGCGGCTCGCCGGTGTCGAGGGAGTTCACGAGGTCCTCCACAAGGCTCAGGTTGGAGCTGTATCGCCTGTGACGCGGGAACCGGCCTGCCACCATCGTGGACGAACCCCGGTATCCGGGCGGGCCCTCCTCACGAATCTTGTACTTGGACCCGGCCCACGCCGTCAGCGTACCCCTTTCGCACGACGCCTCCCATTCCACCTCGTGGGGTGAGAGGACCGCGTAGGCCGTGACGTCGTTCTCGAACTGGATGACCCCGTGGGACACAGGGTCTTCCGTGAGCCTGTCGCCGTCGATCTCCCAGTTGCCCTCTACGAGGCTCATCTGGACCCAGGTCGCGCGCGCGTCGCCGTTGAGGTAGAGCAGGTTGTCGTAGTGGTGGCTTGCGCCGTTGAAGAGGCTGCTCGCGCCGAACACGACCGTCTTCAGGTCGCCGATGCGGCCGCTCTCGATCACCTCCCGCATCTTGACGAAGCCGGGGTGCCATCGACGCTGGGTGCCCAGGTTGAGCACGGCGCCGTTGCGCTCGCACGCTTCCAGGATGGCGTCGGCCTCGGCCATCGACGCCGACAGGGCCTTCTCCGCGTAGATCGCCTTTGCGCCGTGCTCCACGGCGTATATCACGATCTCGGCCCGGTGCTCCGGCTGGGTGGCGACGCTGACGATGTCGGGCTGCTCCCTGTCGATCAGCTCCTTGTAGTCCGTGTACTGCCGCTCCTTGGGGATGTCGAACTGGTTGCCGACCTCCTCCATCACCTCGGGCCGGATGTCTGAGCACGCCGCAAGGTGTGTCCTCGGGCATGCGTAGAAGACGGCCGTATGGGCATACGGCGGCACGTGGCCCGGCGCTCCCACCACCTCGTTGTCGATGAACGCGCCCATCCTGCTGCAGCCTATCACCGCCGCCTTATAGGTCTTCATGGGAATCACCCCTCCGTTGTGTGTTCTTCAGTCTTCGCGGGACTTGAGCACGGTAGTGTCCGTCAGGCCGTGAGACCCCAGCCCTTAGTCGGGCTCAATCTTCCCCTTCAGGAGACCCTGTCCCCCGCCCTTCTCGTTCTGCCCCGTATCGAGTACGGGGCAGGCCTTTCACCGGAATGACAGGTTGCGCGTAGGCCCTCCTCCGGGGGAAGAGGCTAGTCCTGTCTCTCGAAGCGCGGCTGCTTGGCGGGGATCCCGCGCTCCAACCGAATCGTGCTGCCCTCGAGCGGCAGATTCACCCGCGCACCGCCTCTCAGGTGCGACTCGATCACGGCGAATATGAGCTCCGTGCTGGCGCGCGGCCACGCGCGCCCGCAGCGCGACGGCTCTCCGGTGTCCAGGGAGTGGACCAGGTCCTCGACCAGCGCGAGCGTCGAGCTCTTCCACTCGTATTCGGGGAATTCACCCTCCGATCAGCCTGGCCCGGCCCTTAATGTCCGGCTCGCCGCGCTCCCGGAGCTGCCACTGCTCTCCGTTGTCCAGTGCAGTCAGCACGCCGCCTTCGCACACGGCCTCCCATTCCGCCCGCCTGCCGCCGGCATTGAGAGCGTAGCCCGTCACGCCGTTCTCGAACTCGATGATGCCCTCGCCGACCGGGTCTATCGATATCTTCCCGTCGCCGATGGCATGGTCGGCGTCGCGGAGCAGTCCCTGCACCCACAGCGCGGGATGGTCGCTGTTGAGCCGCATTATCAGGTCGAAGGAGTGACTCGCGCCGTTGAAGAGTGAGTTCGTGTTATATATGGTCAGCGCCGCCAAGCGGCCCAGCCTGCCGCTGTCGATGATCCCCTTCATCACGTCGAAGCCCCTGTCCCATCTCCGGCTGTTCGTGCCCAGGTTGAAGAAGACTCCGTTGCTCTCGCACGCCTCCACCATCGCATCGGCGTCGGCCATGGAGGCGCCATCGCCTTCTCCGCATAAATGGCCTTTGCACCGTTGTTTGCCACATAGCCTACGATCTCCGCCCGGGGCTCCGGCTGGGTGGCCACACTGACGATGTCGGGCTGCTCGCGCTCCATCAACTCCCTGTAGTCGGTGTACTGCCGCTCGAGGGGGACGCCATAGCGCTCGCCCACCTGGGCCATGACATCGGGCCTGAGATCGGAGCACGCCACCAGCTCAGTCCTGTCGCACACCTCGTATCCGGCCGCGTGGGAGTAGGGGTACCGGCCCGCCTGGACCTCGTTGTCGATGAACGCGCCCATCCTGCTGCAACCGATCAGCGCCGCCTTGTAGGTCTTCATGTCCTCTGCCTTTCGTGCTGTTCCGGACACATGCTCGGTCAGTGTCCCGCCCTACCCCGCCAATCCAAGCCAGGTCCCAGCAGATGGAGGCGGGGCGAAGTGTTCCGCGAAGGTAGCAGGATGTTAGGACATATTCAAGCCAACAACCCAGATTTCGATGCGAATCCGATAGCCGTATTAGCCAAGGGGCGGGAAGCTACTGCTCCACGATAGGCTGGGCGATGATCCACAGGCTGCTCGCAGTGTAGATGACCATCAGGGCCAGCATCGCGTACTGACCCCTGAGAGCCGCCGCACGGCCCACCGGCCTGCCCAGGGACACCACGTGGGCCACGTACACAGACGCGACGTGCCCGAGCACGATGGCCGCTACGGACATGTACCAGACGGCCTTGGCCCCGATCAGCTCGAGGTCCAGCCTGTAGCCGGCCGTGCCCAGGAGATTCCAGCCCCATCCGAAGGGGTCGGAGGCCAGCGGGATGATGAGCTGGCCCTGGATCAGCAGGTAGCCGATGAAGTGGGCCAGGTTGTAGGCGAGGGCAATGGGCACCAGGGAAAGGACGAACACCCTGGCGATGGCGACGACTCCCAGGTCCTCACGCGACGCCTGCCGAATGCCCCAGGAGAAGGCGAGATACACGGCAGCGAAACCCGCCACCACGGCAGCGATGCCGACCGTGTCGATTACGCCGAGGGCGTCCGTGTTGAGGACTGACGCCGTCGAGTAGAAGGCGTTCTGCACGCTGCGCCACAGCTGAGTCTCGGAGAGCCCGTCGAAGGTGACGCTCGCCAGCATCAGCACGACGAACGCCGCGCCCGCGGTCGACAGCCGCCCCGGCAGCGTGAGCCCTACCGCGTAGGGACGCAGGTTCACCTCCCTCGCAGCCCCTGTGCCCCCGGCGACCTGGAAGCACTCCAGGCAGTCCACGCAGTCGCCCTCGTACGGCTCGCAGCCGCAGCTGCACGACCGGCAGGCGCGGCTCTCCGGCGCGCGCATCTCGGTCGGGGAGAAGCGGGCGAAGAAGGCGAACAGCACGGAGAAAACCTCGCCGTTGCGGAGCCACACGTGCTTGCCGAACAGGATCATGCCAGCCCAGGTGAGCAGCGAGTAGAGCAGGATGAGTACCGAGAGATTCAAGGGGGCCGCGGCGCTCGGGTAGACGTTCTCCAGCCATACGAACGCCAGGAACAGGACTCCCGCGGGCCAGGCGTCCCATCCCCTGGGATAGAGGAACATCGGCCCACTGGGTACACCCGCAATCTTCTCCGCCCACTCGAACATGGTCCTCCACGGGTTGACCACCGCCCAGAAGTTGCCGAGCAACGCCGCCACGTAACCCATGCCGACCCAGAAGATTATCCAGACGAACGTCGGCGAAATGTTCTCGAGTGCGTCGGTGTTCGTGGCCGCATCACCCGGCCGCGCACATGAGCAGCAGTACGATCACTCCCAGGGAATGCAGGACGGCGATCAGTACCCGGCTCGACAGGACAGGCCCGACAAGCGGGACCCGCAGCAGGTTGCGGCGGGGATACGAGGCCCGGCCTGAGCCGCTGCGCACGAACAGCGACAGCACTACGAACGAGGCCGCAACGGTCGCAGCCGCGCCGACCACGAACAGGTTCAGGGGCAGGGGCAGATCGTAGCGCTCGCCGAAGCCGTGGGCGTGAGCCGTCCCGGCTGCCAGCGCCGAAACCGCGCCCACGCAGCCCAGGACTATGGCGAGGCGGAGCAATCTCATGCTATTGGAGCGATTGTACGCCCTCCCAAGCCGGCGCCACAACGAGCCACCGGAGCCGCCATGGCTACTCCTCGAATGTCCTGATGTAGTTGACCACGTGCCATATCTCGTCGTCCGAAAGCCTCTCGCCCAGGGCCGCCATTGCCGTGCCTGGTATCCCCTCGTCCACGAATCCGTAGAGCTCCGCGTCGGAGTGCAACGGCACATGGACGACCAGGTTTCCCTGGCGGCGGGTCCAGCGCCATACCGGCAGGGCCGTCACCCAGTCCTGTCTCACCGTGGCAGGCCAGGCAGGTGTCTTCGTATACCTGCGCACCTATGCGCAGGGACTCGGCGTCGGGCGGGAATGGATTGCGTGAAGCGGCACCAGGAGGGGCGGCGATCTCGCTGTTTAACAGAAGGGCCGCGCCAGCCAGCAAGGCCAGGACTCCGGGTGTCATCACACCCGCTCCGCGTAGAGTGAACAGGCCCCCCAAGGGCATTCCGGTCGCCAGGAAGAGCACACCCAGGACGACCAGCCCGGCGCCGAGCAGCACCGTCCCTCTCCGGGGAAGGCGCGATTGCGCCACTCCCCCCAGCGCCCACCTCGAACCTGAAGCCGGTGCGCGCGTCGAAGGCGTCCGGGCGCCTGACGACAAGCTCGGCCTGCCAGGCCCCTGATATGCTGAACCGCCCCTCCTCAGCGACGTACAGGCCTCCTCCGACCTGAGCCGCTGGGAGTACCTGCTCTCCCAGGTCGTCGTCCAGGTAGCTTATTCGGACGCTCACGTCGGACGCGTTCTCGATGGGCTTCCCCAGACGGTCCGCCAGCGAGACCTCGAACCGGTTCGGGCCCACTGTGCTTGGCTCGATACTGAGCGCCATGTCCGCGCCCTCGACAGTCGCCCTAAACTCGATGGAGTCCGGCAATCCGAGGCCCTCCCGCGAGGCCACCTGGCGCGCGGGTTCGAGGGCCGTCAGGAAGCCCACCACCAGCACGATGAGGACGGCCACGACCACCTCGGCAGCCACCAGGCGGCGCAGCCACTGGGCGGCCGAGTCGTCCGCGGCCAGGCGGGGCCTGACCCACAACAGGTTGGCGGCGGCGAGGAGCAGGAGCCCGATCACGAGAGCGATCTTGGCCCGGAGTGCGACACCGTATGGAGACGCAAGAGCCTCGACGATCGTAACCTGCGCCCACGCGCTGTATACCCCCGTAACGACGAGCGCAGCGACGCTGAGTCCAGCCAGGACGGAGAACCTGGCCACCACCGCGGCGAGCACCCTGCGCCTCTGCGGGCCAGCCAGCGTCGCCATGGCAGTGCCCGCCAGAAGCAGGAGCCCCGCAAGGCCACCGACCCAGACGGACGCCGCCATCACATGCAACAGGTCGTTCGCCACTGCGGGTGCACGGATGCCGACCGTCGCCGCGGCGTGGCTCGTCAGGCTCAATGTCGCCAGCAGCCCGACTCCCAGTACAAGAGATAGGGCGGTCAGGCCCGGCTCGCGGCCGGGCCTCCTGACCTGCACCAACATGACCGCAGCTATGGCGACGGCGAGGCCCATGCGCCACATCCACAGCCGGCCCCAGTCGGTCTCCGTCAGGACAGTGGCGACAGGCCCCTGAACGACCGAGAGCATGGACTGTTCGTAGATGGCGGACGCTTGAATGACGAGCTGGAGCGCAGATGCCAGTACCAGTAGGACCAACGCCGCAGCCGCAAGCCTCGTGGAGTAGAGGGTCCACAGCCATCGCAGCCGGTCACCCGAGGCTCTCCTCCTGAGTACCGGCCCAGCTACCAACAGCTCGAAGCTGTATGCACCTGCAACTACAAGTGCGCCCAGGAGCAGGACCCACCGCACGACCGGCTCGGCGGGCGACTGGAACAGCGGGTCCTCGACGGAAAAGGCCGCCGCATCCCCGCTTGGCTGACCTACCGAGAATACGAAGGAGCCGCGGACGCGGTGGCCGTCGACAGTCGAGACATTCTTCCACCCTACCGTGTACGTCCCGTCCGCCAATGTGCCAAGGAGACGGACATGACGACGGGATTGATCGGATCGACGGCGCTGTCGCCTTCGTCCACCCTTGCGCCGGAGGAGTCGAGGACCCGGATCTCGCTGAACGATGGCTCCAGCGGCTCCGTAAACCTGATGACGACCCGGTCGGGGGCCTCTTCGAGGACCGAGTCCGGCGCCGGGTCGGCGCTGTCGACGTTCGCATGGGCGTGAACTAAGTCCGCATGCCAGAAGAGCGCCAACACGAGGGCCGCAGCGACGGCCGCGGCCACGCCGACCCTGATGCCGTACAACTACCCCTGCCTTCTCCGCAGACCGACCGCCAGGCCTGCCGCTCCGGTGCCTATTCCCAGCACGCCCAGGACTATGCCGGCGATGCCGAGCATCCTGGCGGCAGAGGCGCTGTCGGCGGCCTCGATGGACGCATCCTGCGCCCCTTCAGCCGAGGCCTGGGCGCCTCGAACGGCCCCCTCTATCTCTCGCACCGTCGCCCGCCTCTCCGGGAAGTGGAGGTCGCCGGCGGGATTCACGGTACTGAAGGTATTGGGCCCAGACTCGAAGGACTCATCGACCGGATTGCCCTCGACAGTGCCGAAGAACCTGAACCGGTAGTGTCCCGACGCGGTCGGGATCAGGGCGGCCTTGTAGTGGCCGGGCTGGCCGAACACAACACCCAGTTGCATCGACTTCGACACGCCGCTCCCGAGGTGAGTCACCTCGACCTGCAGGGTCTGCTCAAGGCCCTCTACCGGCACGAGCTCACCGTGGTCGTGGCCCATGCCGCCGACTGCTCCAGAGCTCGTTCCACCATGCTGGCCCGCGCTCGTGCTCTGCCCTTCCGACGCGGCGCTCTTCTCCACTCTCAGATCGACGCCATTGGCCACGCCTTCCACCGCCGGCTCGACAGTGAACCCGACCGTGAACTGGTAGTCGCCCACAGACCTGTGGTCGTGGGCCGAAATCGCCGCGGCAGATGCCAGGCTTGCCGCCAGAACGGCAAGGGCAAGCAGTGCTGTTTTCCTTACAAGCGAATTCATCCTTAGCTCCTTATCCCGTTCGCAAGTGCTTTCGCGGCAGGCAACACTGGCAAGCGAAGCGCTGTCCGCTCGTGCGACTGCCGCAACTCCGTTGGGAATAGAAGCTAGACCTGGGGCGGCTGGGTGGGAGGGACGACGAAGCTCTGTTGATGCAGAGCCGCATCCTGTTCTGTGAATGAGTATGGAGTCTCGCCCGGGTCAGGGAACGAGAGCTCGGTCTGTGATGCCGAGTTGTATATATGGGCATGCCCGACTACGGCGCCGCTGTAAGAGGCCAAGACGACCAGTCCGCCCCGGCCTTTCTCGCCTCCAGAGGCAGCGGCTTCGGAGTGTTGGTGGTCGTGATGGACCTCGTAGCCGTGCGGATGATCGGGGAACAACGCGCCCACATGTAAGTGGCTGTGTCCAGGTTGCCTGCCGGCGTAGTGGTGGTCCAGCATGGGCCCGATGCCGGGCAGCAACGCGACCGTGACGGCGGCCGCCGCCAAACCGGTCCCCGCAACCAAGCGCCGGATCGCCGAAAGTCTCATGGCTGAATTATAGCGGACAAGGGGCCCCTACCGAGCGGGCGCTCCACGTTTCCGCTGGCGAAAGTACGCCCGCACCGAGAGTCCCAATACGGTCACGAGGCCCAGGAGCACCGCCAGTATCGCTATGCCGCCGAGGGGACTGGCCTTCACGACTTCGAAAGTGAACGTCGTCTCAGCCGCCCCTGGCGCTGCGTCTACCAGGACGGTGAAGGCCCACGGCCCCACCTCATCTACCGACGTATTGATCTCGTAGTAGGTGGGCTCGCGCAGGTTCCTGTCGGCCACCAGCGGCCCTATCTCGATGGGGTTGTCGCCGGGACCTTCCCCTATCACCGCCACGCTCGCGTCGAGGACGTACTCGTCGGTTGCGGACTCTTCCACCGTTACGGTGAGATGGATGTTGCCCACTACCGGAGTATCGGGAATCGTGCCGAGGGATACGGTATACGGCCCCGCCTGCTGCCTGTCGAAGCGCAGAACTCGGCCGTTGGCCGATGCCAGCGGCGCGGCAGCAACGAGCAGGACGACGGCGACAGCCAGCATGGGAGCCAATCTGACGAGGGTCTGCACGAGCTTGGGCAGCTAGTCGGGCCGGGAGCCCTGCAGCAGGTAGTAGGTCATGGACTGCAGGGACAGCACCGGGTCTATGTTTCTGAGGATGACTCGCTCAGGCACGTGAGGAGCGACCGGCGCGTAGTTCAAGATTCCCTGAACGCCCGCGTCGACGAGCCTGTCGATAACCGACTGGGCCTGGGAGGCCGGCACCGCCACTATGCCGATGGTGATCTCGGAGGCTTCCACAGTCCCGTCCAGCTCCGACATCGGCCTCACGGGTATGCCGCCTATGCTCTTGCCCACCAGCTCGGGGTCGCTGTCGAAGGCGGCCACGATACTGAAGCCCCCCGGCACAAAGCCCGGGTAGTCGATGATCGCCTGCCCAAGGTTCCCTACTCCGACCAGGCAGGCCGTCCAGCGCCTGTCCAGCCCGAGGATCCGGCGCAGCTCGTCCCTCAAATACGGGACGCTGTAGCCCTGTCCCTGCTTGCCGAATTTCCCCAGGTAGCTGAGGTCCTTGCGGACCTGGGCTGGAGCGATGCGAATGAGCCGCCCCAGGGTCTTCGAGTCCACCACCTCGCTGCCTGCGTCGAGAAGCTGGGACAGGGCTCTCACATACATCGGGAGCCTGAGGATCACTACGTCGGAAACCTGCGAAAGGTCCATCGACTTTGGGCGCGTGCTTGCCATTGCGATGGCAGTATACCGTTGCGCCGCCTCCATGTGAAACAGACCGCCGACCATGCTGTCCGGCAACCGGCCTTATTGACACTCTCGCCCTCTGAGTGCTAGAATTAGCTACGATTTGGAGGTGCCGCTCGCCCGCGGGCCCGGTGGGCAGCAACGCTCTCCGGGTGCCCTGCTGACCGAGACTCTAGCCCGTCGTGCGCCGGGAGACCAGTTGGAAATGGTGTCTGAGAACAAGGTAGAGCTCAACAAGGGCCTCAGAAGCGGCTACTACGACAGGACCGAGTCGAGCCTCATCGTCCCTAAGCCGGGCAAACTGCTGTACCGCGGCTACAACATCGACGATCTCGCCCGTTACTCCACCTTCGAAGAGACGACCTACCTCCTCCTCTACGGCTCTCTGCCGACGCGTTCCCAGTGCGACGAGCTTACCTCCAGGCTGGTTTCCCTTCGCAGCCTGCCTCCCCAGGTACTCGAAACTATCGCGACGTATAGGGACTCCCACCCGATGGATGCGCTCCGCGCCGCCGTCTCGGCGATGAGCATTTCCGACCCTGACGTCGAAGACAATTCCCACGAAGGCATCCTGGACAAGGGCATCCGAATGGTCGCGGCCACGCCGGCCATGGTCGCCGCGCACCACCGGATCAGGAGCGGGCTGGACCCAATCGAGCCGGACGAAAGTCTCACACACGCCGCGAGCTTCCTGCACCTCCTGTTCGGCGAGCATCCGGACCCGGAGGACGCCAAGCTGATCGACAAGGACTTCCTGCTCCACGCCGAGCACGGAAGCAACGCGTCCACGTTCGCCGGGAGAGTGGCCGCGTCCACCGGCGCGGACTTCTACTCCGCCATGACCTCGGCCGTATCCGTACTCAAGGGCCCGAAGCACGGGGGCGCCGCTGAGGCCGTCATTCGCATGGCCCACGACGTGGGCAGCGAGGAGAACGCCGAGGCATACGTCGAGTCGGTGATCGGCAACCGGGGCCGGATCCCGGGGTTCGGCCACCCCGTATACCAGGACATCGACCCCCGCTCCGTGCATCTCAGGGCCGACGCGAAGGCCCTCGGGGAACGCAAGGGGCAGCCCAAGTGGTTCGCCATCATCGAGGCCGTGGCGAACAGCCACGCCATGCGCAGGCGCGCCAAGCTCGGCATCAACCCGAACGTGGATCTCTGGTCAGGCGCCATCTACTCACTGCTCAATATTCCGGAGGACCTGTTCGTGCCCCTGTTCGCCATCGGCAGGATCCCCGGATGGACCCTCCACCTCTTGGAACAGTACGCGTCGAGGGACATACTCCGCCCCAGGCTCTACTACAAGCGGCAAGAAGGACCTGGAGTACGTCCCGATGGACCTGCGGCAATGACACCAAGCCGGGAGCTCAGTCGAGCGCGGGCCCGGCCGGAGAGGGATGGAAGGTGACCAACAGCGGGGAGCCAGAAACGGACTGCCGCCACGAGTGGCTTATCGACAGCCCGAATGGCCCGACCAGCCGGGGCGTGTGTATGAACTGCGGCGAAAAGAGCGAGTTCAAGAACTCGATGCCCATATCCGGCTGGGACAGGTCGGGAGGCCAGGCCCGGAGGGCGAAGCAGTCCAGGTCGTAGACCCACAGGACGACACCTTACAGCAAGCCTCCCAGGGCGCCGAAGCGGAACCGGCGCCCCTTCCATTTCAGGCTTGTCCGGTCACCGTCGGCATCTTCCCAGCGGCGGGCACATGCTTCCACCGCTCCCTCCAATGACATCGGGCGCCGAAGAGGAGATTCGGGCCCGAATAGCCCAGCACGGCAGGATCACCTTCGCTGAGTTCATGGGCATCGCTCTCTACCACCCCGAAGGGGGCTACTACCCCCGTGGCGGGGCTGTCGGCGCGGAGGGCGACTTCTACACCAGTCCATCCGCTCATCCCGCATTCGGCGCCCTGCTGGCCATCCAGCTTCAGTGCATGTGGAAGGTCCTCGGCAAGCCTGCCCGCTTCGATGTCGCGGAGATCGGCGCAGGCAATGGGCGACTGGCGACCGACATCACCACGCACGCCGCCTCCCTGGAACCCAGATTCGCTGGAGCAGTCCGGTACGTCGCGGTAGACCGAACTCTGCCCGGCCCAGGCGCCGAAACACGTTGGGGACAGCGACACGCCTCGGTCCTACGACCGCGTCCAGTCCGACGCAGTGCCCATGACCGGCGTCGAAGGATGCTTCATCTCCAACGAGCTGGTCGACGCGTTCCCAGTCCATCGCTTCCTGGTCGACGACGACATCCTGGAGCTGTACGTGACGGAGAGAGACGGCAAGCTCGTGGAGATTCCCGGCGAGCCCTCGACGCCCAAGCTGGCCGGCCGCCTCGACCGCCTGCCGCACAGCCTCCCTCCCGGCTACTGCGGCGAGGTCAATCTCGCCATCGGCCCCTGGATGATGGGTGTTGGAGATGCGCTGGAACGCGGCTTCGTCGTGACCACAGACTACGGCGGCATCGACACCGACCTCTACTCCGCAAAGCGGATGTCAGGAACCCTCCAGACTTACCGAGGCCACTCTCCCGGTGCGGGGCCCCTAACGCAGATCGGGCTGCAGGACATCACCAGCCACGCCGACTTCTCGTCCATAGCATACGAGGGACGGCGGGCAGGTCTCGAGACTATCGGGCTTGTGACGCAGGCCGAGTATCTGGGCGGGCTTGGACTGGGTTCGTGGGTCCGGGCAATCAGGACTATGCCGCTGGGTCAGAACGAGATGCAGGCCAACGCGATGGCGATGCGCAACCTAGTCGACCCGTCGGGCCTCGGCAACTTCAAGGTGCTGGTTCAGGAGAAGGGGACGGGTGTGGACGACATGAATGCGATCATGCCCGACCTCGGTGAGGGCGACCTTGGCGACCCGCCGCTGCTCAGCCGCGAGCACATGCGCCTCATGGAGGGGCGGTACGCCCACACAACGTGGCAGCCTACCTGGGAGGACCCGGCGGGCGACCGGGCCGATTAGTCCTCCTGAGCCTTGCTGGGTGGGCGAGGCTCGCACTTGCGGGCGGTGGTGATGAAGCCCGTGTGGGCGACCATCCTCTGGGCCGGGCGCACGCTGCGACTTGCAGCCGACCAGGGCCTCACGAGGACCTCGACCGTCTCGATTAGCTCGAACCGGCGGTCGGCCCTCAGCGCCAACGTAAGGTCCTGGAACTGCAGGACCGTCGGCACAAAGCTGACGAATATGCCTCCGGGCGCCAGTGCGTCGCCTGCGTGGGGGACTACGTCCCAGGGCTCCGGCAGGTCTAACACGACCCTGTCCAGGTCCCGCTCCTCGATCTCTTCCGACACGTCACCCAGCCTGAAGGTCAGCTGCGGGTGGTCCGGCAGCGCAGCGGCCACGTTCGCCCTCGCGCGCTCCATCATGTCGCGGCGCACGTCGTAGGAGACTACCCTGCCCTCCCTGCCCACGGCCGCGCCAGCAGAAGGGTGATCGCCCCCGATCCAGAGCCGGCCTCCAGGATGCTCAGGCCGGGACATATGTCCCCAAGGGTCAGGATCGCGCCCATGTCCTTGGGGTAGACGACGGTCGCGATTCGGGGCATGAGGCGGGTGTAGTCGGCCACGGTCGGCTTCAGCGCCAGGACGATGTGGCCCCTGGATGTCGACGCCCGCAGCCCCTCGTCGCGGCCGATGATGTCGTCGTGCGCGACATCGCCCAGGTGTGTGCTGAAGAGCGCCGCCGCCTCCAGAGTTATCAGGTAGAGCCTGCCCCGCTTGTCCACGATCATGCAGGGGTCGCCGACGTTAAACAAGCTTAGAGCACCATAGGCAGGGGCCTAAGGTCCCATCTAAGTGGATCCAGCACCAGGCCTAGGGACTCCAGAGTCGTAGCGCCCAGCAGGTTGCTGTCCCCGTCCTCGCCGAAGATCACGTCGGCCACGCCTACCCTTTCCAGCCATAAGAGGAAACACTGCGCCCGCCCTTGGTGGGTTAACCCCTAGCCCGTCGGCCAGCCTGAATCCGGTCGTCCAAGTGGACGGAGACAAGCGGATCTAGTACAGAAGCAGGAACCACCGAATGCACGGCGCCCGAGTCCACAAGAAACTCCACCGGCTTGGAGTCTTCCCGGGTCGCTGGTCCAGATACATCAACCTGCAGGTACGTGAGCCCCACCGCAGAATCCCCCATGACTAGCAGTTGCTTCATTATAGCCCACCCGGCCGCGCCCACCCGGTGGTCAATCGGTGTTAATCCTGTCCATTTCCGCCAGCACCCCCGCCACGTCCAGGTCCGACTCGGTCAGGCCCTGGCCCGTCGGACCGGGAAGATGACCGCCTATCGTTTACCGTACGGGGAGACGCACTGTTCCCGCGCTTGTCGACGATGACGACGGCGCGGAGGGAGGCCCCCAACTCCTCGTTGACGAGGCCGTACGCCATGGTCATCTCGCCGTGGGGGTGGAAGTCGCTCAGCAGCGTCACCGGGTACGAGTTGGACGGGCCCAGCGACACGCTGTATGCCGCAAGACTCGGCCTGGGATCGCAGCTAACACCAGCACCTGGGTGTCTCTCGCCATGAACTTCGAGTTATACTCTCGAAACTCGGCGATCTGGCTCGTTCAGTTGTCGGTGAACGCGAAGACGAAGAAGGAGAGAACTACGTTCTTTCTGCCCCGGAAATCGCTCAACGAGACCTGCCGCGTGTTGTGGTCGGTCAGCGTGAAGTATCCCGGGGCCTCCTGGCCCACCTCGATCATATCCAACCTCTGCATTCCAAAGTGGCCGGATTATATCACCGGCGTGCCGAACTAAAGGAGAGTCTCATGAAGGTACTGGTAATGGGGCCCGGAGGGGTCGGCGGGTACTACGGCGGCGTCCTGTGCAAGGACGGGCACGACGTGACGCTCGTGGCCCGCGGCGAGCATCTCGAGGCCATTTCCAGGGACGGGCTGCGCGTGGAGAGCCTGAACTCGGGCAACTTCACGGTTCGACCCTCCGTCACGGACCGTCCCAGAGAGAGCGACAGCAGCGGGGCTGAGCGCTGGGGTTGTGCTCTTCTGCGGAGGAGGGGTGGCACGACGAACGAAACGGCTACATCGAGCATTGATCCGCGCGTACTGGTGGGACCCCGGAACACGCGGTGCCTCACGCTGCAGAACGGCATCGGCAGCGGCGACCAGCTCGGCGCAGCCCTGGGGGCGGACAGGATACTCCTGGGCGCGACGTACATAGACGGAAACAAGAAGGGCCCGGGCCTCATCACCGAGACCGGCAAGTCGCCGCTCGTGGTGTTCGGGGAGCAGGACGGGCGGATCACAGCCCGCGCGGAGAGCGGGCCGTGGACTAGCCGAGCCGGGGCAGGCGGACGGTCGAGCTGTCGGCAACGGGAGAAGGCTTTGGTCCTCTCCCTTCGAGAAGCTGCTACACATCTGCGGATGGAGCGGCATGATCTGCGTCACCAGGACCTTCTTCCCGGAGATATTCGAGACACCCCAGGCGGAGGCGATGACCCGCACAGTGATGGGTGAAGTCCTGGCGGTCGCACAGGCAAAGCAGATCGACCTGGACATCGATGTGGTGGGGACGACGCTGGACGAATTTCGAGACGTCGGGGACGACCCCGTATCGTCGATGTTCACCGACCTGCGCAGGGAAGGCAGGCTGGAGATCGAGGTGCTGAACGGCGCGGTCTCCCGGATGGGCAGAGAGACCGGAGTGCCCACACCGGCCAACGACTTCATCACCGCCTGCCTGCTGGTGCCTCACAACCGCGCCCTGGTCCAGCTCGCCGCGAAATGACCACAGGAGGCTAGCTATGTCGCACTTCTACGACCTGGAACGGATCGACAGCAAGGAGTTGGTACGCGGTGTAATGTTGCAAGCGGTATGGGGCGAGAAGGTGATGTTGAGCCGTGTCGATATCTCGCCCGGCGCCGAGGTCCCCCTGCACGACCACCCTCACGAGCAGGCCGGCACCCTGCTGGAGGGCGTGATGGAGATGACCATCGGCGACGAGACGCGGGAGCTGGGGCCCGGCGACTCCTACGTGATTCCCGGCGGCGTGCAACACAGCGCCCGAGCCATCGGCGGCAGGGTCATCGTGCTGGACATATTCTCGCCGCCGCGCGAGGAGTACAAGTAAGCGGCCAGAGTCTGGGCTTACTCGGCCTGTCGGACTGGACCGGCGGCTATCCCTTCCTGAACAGGCCCAGGAACCTCTCCTCGAAGAAACCGAAGAGCCCCCACCGGTCGAGCTCGCGCTTGAGAATCTCCGGGTTGGCCCCCTGCCCCACCTCGACGAACATCCGCTCGATGGCGTCGATGGCCGCCCGGGGCACTCCTCCGAAATCGCCCTGGGGTTCGAGCATCCCCCTGCCCGCCATCTCCTGGACGTTCCCGGCGATGGAGGACGATGTGAACTCGTAGATGAACTTGAGGAGGCGTCGACGGGGCGTCCCACCTCGTCGACATAGCGCCATCACGAAAAACACACGACATGTCCTCTTTGCGCCGGTCCAGGTCGCCGGCAATCCTGTGGGCGATCTCGCTCGGAAGACCGCCCACAATGTCCGTCTTGTCCGTTGAGTTGCGGTACTGGTAGAGGATGCCCGGGCTGTTCGGCCCGGCGTCCCTGGCAAGGTGGGAGAAGTACTCGTACGCCTCGGCACTGAATCCGTCCAGGCTCATCGCGTATGTGGGTGTGACGATGGTTGGGCGTTCGGCGATCACGCGACCAGTGCGTACCACGCCCTCCTGCTTGGACTCCTGGAGCTCCTGGTATATGGGCTCCGTGACCACATAGTAGAATGTGGTGGAGCCGAACGTGTGCAGGCGCTGTTTCGGGAACCGGACTACCCAGCTCTGCTCGGCCGCCCTGCGCCAATCATTCTCGTTCTGCAGCATATGCCTCACCTGTAGGTGGTTAGAGCCGCCGGGACGCGACGACCTCATGTTCGATGCATAGTTGTCAGC